AAAGATAACAATACTGAACAAAATTACATGATCACGTATTGTTAAGTGTTATTTCTGCCTCTCAGGGAAGAAAATGCTACAGTTGCATCCTCCTTTGATTAGTGAGAGTCAGCCTGAATGGATTAAGGTGAGAGAGAGATAACAAAAGGTAAAATAGATAAATTAACTCAATTGTTAATAGTGTTAAGGGGGATTTGGATGGGGAAAATCACAGGGGATTAATTGATAAGAAAAAAAATCACAGGTGTACATAATAAAAGAGTAAACCACATCGACGTATATGAATTTTCCCCAAAAAAAAAGTTAGGCTCGAGAAATATATTTTTGTAGCTGATTGGTAAGTCTGACAGTACAAGGAAAAATACTAAATAATTTAAAAAATATATATATATCATCGAACAATAAAGACTGAACGTAGAAATCCCAAGGGTAGCTCGGTTGGTAATTCAGCTCCCAAGGGTTTGCTTAGGTCAGGGGTTCAAACCCTGTCTTAAGCAAATTCTTGAAAAATCTTTGGGGGTCTGAGGATGTGCCTCTCTTCTCGAATGAAGGATTAGTCTCATTCTTCCTTGGGTAATGAAAGCTCAATGCACCCGCTGTTTCAATGATGAGAAAGTCTTAAATCAGTTTTTTTTTCCCTTCAATTTTTGTTCCTGTGAACAGAAATGGATAGAAACACTGTTTGACAAAACAGATTTATTTTTTTATTCCCGAGAATGAATCGGTTTAATTTCCACGCTGGGGAGCAAAGCAAAGAACCAAAAAGTTTATGTTTTTTTTTCGGCACAAAATGAGAAAAATTTGTTTATCTCAATCACTCTCCACCACTATCATCACCACTATCCCGACACGACTACCGCCACCATCATCGTTGTCATCGTCGTACCACCACCACGATGCCACCATCACCACCACCTTCACGCCACCACCATTACCATCACCACCATCGTCACCAACCTCTACCACCATTGTCGTACCCACTGTCGTCATCACCACCTCCATCGCCGCTACCACCATGCCACCATTACAGCAGCCACTGTTGTCACCATCACCACCACCCCATCACCACCACTACTGTCGTCGCCGCCATCACCATCATACCACACTACCATTGTCATCATTACCAATATCATCGTCGCAGCCACTGCCATCATCGTCGCCACCGCCGCCATGCCACAACCACTACCACCACATCATATGAAAAGGAAAGTGATGATCCGAAAAAATTAATAGAAATAATTTTTTATTCTATTATTTGTTGTGTTATTAAGCACAATTCTCATTCTCAGAATAAAAATAAAATATGTTATTAAACACATTTTTTTATCTCAAAAATTATTCCAAGGCACAGAAAGAGAAAAAATTGTTTCTTTTCAAAAAACAGTGCTAGAGAACATAATGATTGTTATGCATACCCTTAGTTGTCCAGAAATAAAAAAAGAATATTGGATACTTCTAGAAGTATCTCATGTCTTGTATGAATATTTTTATATTAAAGTAAAATATAAACTATATAAATTAAGAAATAGGATATTATGCTTACTTTTTATGCCTATTTTACCTATTATTTTTCAACACCTTTAAATCACAATATCATGTACGTAGAATTGACATAAAAAAACACAGACATAATATCTTATCTCATAAATCAAAAGAGAAAAAATATTTAAAACTATAACAATATGCGCAATTAATTTCAAAAAAATAAAATCAATTTTTCTTTTTAAAAAAAAAGCTAAGCATGATATGCATTATTATAAGGAAAAATAAATTAAAAATTTTAATCACTCTAAAAGTATATTTTTAATTAGTAAGATGAGTATACCTTTGATTTGATGTAGATGGATGAACTGCATGATTTATCTTTCTTCTTCATGAAGAAGATCAACCATGGAAGTAGATAGGACGAGAAAGATGATATCGAATTTTAGAGAATTGGTTATGTGATATCGAATTTTAAATTATAACGACATCAATTTTTTTATATGTTAGCTTCACATTACTTCTGAATGGTTTCAAATGCAATGAATGACTGTGTATTGTATAATGGGTAATAGAGTGGGTTTAGTCACCTAAAAAGTAGTGGAGATATTGTTTTCAAAATGTAAAATCAGTTTAAAGAGCTGAAAATCAATTGATGCTTACACTTACGTCCTATGAATTATTAAGAACTTTATAAAAATTGTAAAGGCAATATTCAATACTTGGTTAGTAGGCAACTCTAGTGTATTGGCGACCTTTTAACGGATGTAATTAATCAAACCAAATTAATTAGAAAATCCCTTTCAAATTTGGGAAAGGATATTGTAACAATCAAGTTGTGTTATTATCAATCAATCTCACTGTTAGATCGATTATGTTGATCCAACGGTTATATTTATTTCTATCTTTGTATGGTCATGATTTCTTAAATTTTATATTTTATATTTATTTTCACCTTTGTATGGTTATGATTTCTCATATTTAATGCTTTTACTTTAAATATGGGGAATCATAACCATACAAAGATGAAAATAAATATAACCGTTGAATCAACATAATCGATCTAACGATAAGATTGATTGATAATAACATAATAATAACACAACTTAACTATTACAATATCTTTCCCCTCTAAGTTTTGATGAAAGGACATGAGATGTTTATTGCCACATACTTTAGCTTTGATTTGATAACCACACCCTTTAGCTCTAAGGTATGCCAATCGTAATCGTAATCACAGTTCATCGGAAAATGAAAGGTTTCAAATTATAGAGTTGCGTACCGATATATGAATAATTATTGAGTGATTTGTGACATATTTATTAATGGTTAATTGTATAATAAATATTTGGAAGTTTTTGAAATATAGTCAACATCTAATTAATATTTTACAGTTCACTGCATACTTTTAAGAAGATGTTTGTTTCAATGAGTGTGATTATATTCTTAAAATTATTATATTTAGGAATGTTATTTCGAGATAAATTCAAATTTCAAAGACATGTTTGCTTAGTATTAAATTTTTTTGAGAATGTTCTTCTTTTTTTTTTTCAAAATTTGTTTAGTTCATAAAAGTCAAAAGCGATAGGAGAAAAATGCCATACGATAAAGCGAAAATGAAAGTTAATGGCTAGATTGCAAGATAATTTTCATTCTAATTTCAAGGAAAAACAATATACATATCCTTATCATGGAAATAAAAAGTCAGATATTGTTTGTCCTATAATCGGAGTGACTCATATTAATGGCCCAAACCATCCATTCAAAATAAAAATCAATAATGCTTTTAATTTATAAATATTATTTAAAAAATATTATAGTTAGTAAACATGAAAATGTTATATTTTTTCAAAATTTATATTGAAAATCTTTAAAACAAACACATCCTATGCTTTCATCAGAATTTAATTAGATAACTTTTTAGCATTTCTTTGCAGTTTTCCGCATTTAACTCTGATATCTCGTTGATTTGTGCTGTCAAAAGTTGTCAATTATGGTAGTTAGATTACTTACTTTCTGTTGCTTTGAAATCTCTAATTCCCTATCATAACCCGAAGTTCTGTACAATAGCTGTAGGTACATTTATGCTAAAAGGGAAAAAAAATTGGACTTACAAGAAATTATAAAAAAAAATAAAATTGAATAAAGATGAATTTCTTTTTTCCTTTATAGAAAAAAGGAATACCGAGCGTAACACTAATTTTTTTCCCTCTTTTAATTTGAAAAATACAAAGAACTTGTAAATCATCAATCTTCGTCAAACCTATTTTATTTTCTCCTCTCATTCAACCATCTCCACTCCACCCTTTATTCATTTTTTTTCTTAACATAATTGCTTTTACAATTATTAGTTACAATATCACATTTTCCCCCTATCTTTATAGGGGTAGATTATATTTACAAACTTTTTTGTTTACAAACTCTTATAACTTACATTATCTTCTCCGGAGAGAACACTAGTTACACTATCTTCTCCCGAGAGAAAATAGTGTAATTTGTAAAAATTTGTACAAAAAATTTGTAAACGGATTATTCCCCATCTTTATATTACAAAATTTTCAGTCTCAACTTTTTTTTTTCTTTTGTTTGGCACATTACTGAAATTTTCAATGTCGAACCTATGTCTTCTACCAACAAGAGTGGCCCACGGACCAATCGTAAAGTATATGAATTTGAGGATTACATATAATTGGAGTTAAAAAAAAAAAAGTTTCTAATCATAATCTTTCAATAAGATTTTTGAAATATTACACTTTACAATCATCAATATTCTTCTGCATCATATTGTTTATAGGTGTTTTTTTAACATAATTCTCAAACTTTACTTGGAATTCATTGATCACACACTAGTTTCATTGAAACTTTTCATGAATGATCCAAATTCTGTATTATCCTTTCATGTATGTTCAAAAATCATTATCCCATTCTGTTATAACTTCATTTCGGAGAGAATACTCCCGCGTTTCAAATAATACCCAACGACTTTATTTGTCCATATTAATAGCTCGGAAGAGTCTATGAGACATTAAATACAAAGAGTTGATAAGGACCACTTGATCATATAATGCTGAGCTGAACTGTTTGTGCTATTTTGCATTTCATCATAGCTGTACCATGTTGATTCGCATACATCATTATCTCGATTTATCAACCAATAAATTTTGTTGCTTAAACAGCCACTCGAGTTTCAAACACTCAGAAGACAAGTGGGGTGGGGTAGGGGTCCCGTTTTGAGAATATTGGGTAAGTGGTCTTTGTCTTTTCAAGCTTTCAAGATTGAATGGCATGCAATTGTCCAACCGGGTCCAACTCCAACCTTACAGTCCCTGAATCTACTAAAGAAGGACACGGTCATGCATGATCCAGTCCCACCAAACTGATAATGATGATGGACACTAGTACAATTCACAAATCAAAAGAAGTGGCAAGTGGCTGCATGACACATGGAGTAAGCACATCAAGCAAATGAGTTCATTTAGATTACAACGAATCATGTTCATTTAGATTGCAATGAATCATTTTAAAATTTTATTTACTTTTACCAGTCAGTTCACCACAGCATTATTATTATTATTATTTACAGGCAACTTGGATTTGGGAAACCATTTACAATTACTTTTCCCCGGCCAACATGAATGTTAAAAGCATCCATTGATGAGTTGCTTCCGTTTGGTCTGGCAGGATAACCATCAGCATATTAGGAGGCTGTCATCACCGCTGTTCCGGTTCCTCACTGCAGCATGACACAAAAACTGCTGTTCCTATGGTACTTCGTTCTGAGATCAATGGGACAAAAAACACCCCATGACATTCCGTATGATACAAAATATCAATCTAATTTTGACGATGCCTTTGCTTATAACACTACTTCTTGTGTTCTATGATCCTCGGTAGATTCTTCCTCAAGTTCTTTAATTAGCCTTTCAATCTGCTTTCTATAAATTGGCATGAAGTGATCACTGATCATGGTCTGTGAAAGTCTAAGTTTACTATATAGAGATCTTGAAGTTAGGAAAATCCCAATCTTGGTCTCATCTGACCGACTATTTTCCGAACTCGTAGTAGAGGTTGGGCTACTATCATTTTCACTCTCAGCAGCATCAGAGTGGAGTGTAACAATGTGCATTATCTTTCCCGGAGGGAAAAATCTGTGAACTTCTCTCATTTCTGGTGCAGAGCTCTGGGTTTGCCCTACTACCTCTCCTATGGCCGCTTCTTCTTCCCTTATCTCCTTTACCACATCATCCTCCTCACCTTCAGATCTGTCATACAGCTCATGCTCCAGTTGTTGCCACAACTCCACTTCACTCATCTGATCCTCGTATCTGTCATGGTTCATCATGTTCTCACTGTCATTGAGATCAACATCCATCTCAGCATCTGGACTACTTTCATTGGCACATTCAATTTCAGAAGACCACTCTTCCACAGATGAAGATACAGGAAGGTTCATGTTCTTTGCATTAATCCCTTTCTTGGGAGAACAAAGAAGTGGATCAGAACTTTCTACATCGGCAGAGGCTGGAGATTTGGGGGAGCTTCCTTCATCTTTGGAGTTCGAATGAGCATTCATGGTTCGGCGACGGGGTCCCATGCATGACCAAGAGGACAGATTAAGGTTTGGACGACTCCATGCTGCCTGAGCCATACTCTTGGCCCTCTTCATCACAACCTGCAGTTTTTCAAAATTCAGACATAGCAATAAAAGCAAATTGCATATGCTTATCAAATAAACGAAAAGAAGTAACACTAACAGATTGAACACCACAACCCCCAACCTAAGAAGAGAACTAACAAGATTAAAACAATTCTTCCAAGTTATATTTATGATCAAATTCATCATAAATAGTACTTTCTCTTTTGACAGCTGGAATGCAACATCAATAAATTTTGTTCCACACAAGCAAGACCACAATAAAAAAAACAGACCAAATTTTTTTGGAATCATGGACAATGGATAGTTTACCATGTCCCGCTTATGGAGACAATACAATGTTGTATGATAACTTGTACAAAAGGGAATCAATCATATATAGCAGAAGGAAAGTACCTGGGTACCATTAGAAACTGGCTGCAAAATTGCCCCAGCCCCAGCAACTTTTGCTCTAGCAGTGGCAATGGATGGGAGGCGAGAACCCAATGCAGAAGCAGATCGATAGACAGTACTGAGTATTCTTGTTTGTTCAATTTGATTCCTCAAGTCATTTATCCATGCTGATGCTGTCACCTGAAAATTGGAAAAGTAAATTTAATACACACATGATAGAGAATAACAAAATTGAAACTTACTAACCACAAACACACTCATCCTGAAAATGACATCATAGCAAATATAACGATTTACTCAAGTCCCATGAAGGCAAGCAAACTGAATAAGGTGCATTACGACTTTATGTGAAAGACTTTAAATTCAAGCGAGAGTAGGAACATTAAGACTACTTTCTAAAATATCCTACAACTCCTTTGATACACAGTTTTGATAGAACTTAAAAATGCTCATGACCATAAATGAGACTTAATGAATCTACAAAATAATGACCTGAATGCTTTTTCCGGCGCCCTGCAGTCTTGTAAGATCCCTGGACTGCAGGGTTAATTACTTAAATTTCACTCCCCCGCTGTATCTCTTGCTTGAACTATCACTTCCTGTTTCCCTCCTTTAAATAAAATAATTGTATCTTCAATATGTTAACTATAAAAATTTGACCTTAACAAAAAGTCCTGCACTTGGATTACGGCTTGCAGTTGCACTGCCAGATCTCACAAATATAATCAAATATTGGCCAATAAATTAAGATTACAAAAACATTTTCCCATACAAGATGCACAACTTTTTTACTTTAAAATTCAAGGATCAAAACCTCGGAACGCAAGTCATCTACAGAAGCAGCTGAGAATGTAGGCACCAAATCAGCTTCATTTATAACAGAAGTAATAAAACTATTGCCTGACTCTGCCAACTCCCATGTCATACAAGCAGCTGCATGAGTAACAAAATGTCAGTTTCAAGAGACTCACAGTGTAAACCAATATTAGTCCCAAAAGGCTCCAGGATACTACCAAAAATATCCTTTCAATTTGAAAAAAATGCAGAATCATATTTGCAATTTTGCACAAAGAATATAGCTTCTGCAACAGCATATATTATAACAGACAGACCTGGAGCAAATGTAACACATGTAGTCACAGACAGTTCCTTTTGCTCTCTTAAAACATATGTCAGAATAGCTGCTGTCCCTCCACCCAAGGAGTGCCCTACAATCTATGTAAAAAAACAATTGAAAAACAATTCAGCAAACTAGAGAAACATTTTACTAACTATTTGAAGCTTAATAGATTGACAAAAGCCATAAAAGACAAACTAAATAGCCTAACAGCATGTTTACAAACCAATTATCCTAAAAGTTTAAACTCTTAGGAGAAAGCACGTCAATGGTTTTATATTTAACACGTCCCTTCACGCAAGAGTCATTTGGACTTAAAGCGTGAAAATTGCAAACCCCACCGTACCTTGTGTAAAATTTAATTTGTCCTTAAATGAACGGGAGCAACAAAGATCGAACTCTGGACCACTTGGTCATAGAGGCTCTAATACCATGTCATGAACCAATTATTCAAAAAGCTTAAGCTGCTAGGTAAAACACATGAATGGTTTTAAATTTAGCATTTACAAATTGAATGATTTCAAAAACTAAGATACTTTTGTTGTCAAATTATAGAATCACTCATGTGATTAACAAAAAAAGGGGGGATGATGACTACAATCTATAACATCACACACACTAGCTATGTGTGCTTGATCAAAATATTAAAAAAAGAAAAGAAAAATAAACAAAATGATACAATGGTCTAACAGTGAAGTGTGTGCTAAAAGGATTACTTGGTAAAAAGAGTTGGGGATATTATAAAATGAAATATCTTTACCTTAACTTTATAGTCAGGGTAATGGCCATGTGCTTCAAGGAGACAAGGAGTTGCGAGCTTAGCAATCCATCGAGCGGCAGCAACCATTCCACAATGTGCATAACCCAAAACCAAATCACTAACACCCCCCTGATCAACTACGGTGTGATGAAATGGTACCACATTTCCTGTAACAGCTGTTAGAGTATCCTTGATACTATGTGTGCCACGAATCAATAACAAAAAGCACTTCATCTTGTGATCAGCTATTATAGTAAAAGCTGGTTTCAAAATCTGCAAGACAAATGAACAGACAAGTTTATACATACATTGTTTTTACCAAATAAAATACAACTATGGATAGGGTAGCAAGTATTATTTATTCATCTGATTCATTTCAGCCATGGCCTCCTTTCACCCCACCCAGCCCTCCCCCTCCCAAAATTCAAAAAAGTTAGGCTAAGGAAAGAAAAAGAAAACCCCTCATAGCCCAAATTACCACTTGATCCCATACTTAGTCTAAAACAACATCCCCTGTTGCTTCAACCTTCCATTCCTCTTCAAAAGATAACATACATAAATAATTATCAATTACATAGTCAATACACCATACAGATATGCATTTTTATCATTTTTTGGGTAAAAATTCAAACAAGACTCACTCCTGCTTTGGGTTCCTGAAGGAGAACATTTTCTTCAGTGTACCCAGTTTCTTCTAGAAACAAGGTAAAAGGCTTCTTCGAAAAATGCCAACACAGCGTCAACAAGTTTAAGAGATACTTGAGTTCAGTAGTAATCTCAGATCCTTTCAGCTGGACACTGTCCTTACCACCAAACACAGTGTCAACACGATAGTTTCCCTGCAAAGTATAACCCAGAAGCTAACATTTAAAATTTTGATGTCAAACTTAATAAAAATAAGAAATTTTTAAAAAGGGAGGCATCAAAACAACATACTACAAAGCCATTTTGCAGGTCAAACACAAAGCTGACGTTCTGTGAATACCATAGTTCAGTAACTTAAGCTCCATTTTGATTAGACTGAAAAAAAAAATTGATTTTTCAAATTTTGAATTTGTTTGGCTATTATAAAGTATAATTACTTTTGAAGTATAATTGTTGGGATACATTTAGAAAATTACTAGGTCCAACTTGTTGAAATTATTATTATTTTTTATTTATTTTTTTGTATTGCTTGTAGAGATATTTCGAAAAATTACTAGGTCCTATCTCAAAATCAATTTTCTTCACCCCAAAAGCTACTGCTGAGTTATTTCCATTAGAACTCATTCCTAAGAGTCAATTCAGAACATCTTAATCAATTGATTTTGGAATTTTGAAATTGTTTGGGGATTATAAAGTATATTACTTTTGAAGTATAATTGTCGGGATCCATTTAGAAAATTATTAGGTCCAACTTGTTAAAATTAAATTTTTTTGTATTGCTTGTAGAGACATTTTTACAAAACTACTAGGCCCTATCTCAAAATCAATTTTCTTTGCCGCAAAAGCTACTACTGAGTTACTTCCATTAGAAATCATTCCTAATAGGAATCAATTAAGAACACATTAATCAATTGATTTTGGACTGGTCGGATTGATTTCAGAGGGTCCAAACTCTAAATAAATATGACATTAACTTCCAAGCTCAAGAATTGAAAAAGCAGATACATGATTACTATACTCAAACTACAGCTTGATATGAAAAAAAAAATCTGGCACAAAACTAAGATTACAGAGCAACTTCTTATCTACTTGCATAAATCAGACATAATGAAATTCAGCACTCCAAGACTCCAGGCTAATAAATCAATATCATGTCTTCCAAGGATGTCATGAAATTGATCTATCTTGTTAGATATAATATAAATATGTTAAGAGATATAATAAAGTCTCCCTCACCCAACAACTTAAGCTTTTGGGAGAGTTGGTTTGTGATGTGGTATCAAAGCCTCTATGAATAAGTAGTTTAGAGTTCCATCTTATTACCCTCATTCTTCTAATAAAAAAATGAAATTTCAGCAAAAAGTAGGTGGGTCTGTGCATTGTCTCAGGCTTCAAGCTCAAAGGGCTCTTGCATGAGGGAGTGTCATAGAAATATAATATAAAATCATTTACGTTTCTTCATCTAACAACTTAAGCTTTAGGGAGAGTTGGTTCATGGCATAGTACTATTATGAATAGAGTGCAGATGGTGCTGGTACACCTGCAGTATTGAAAAGTCATGATAATCGCATCTGTTCCATTTCTGTCTGCATCCAAATCTACAGCAGTAAGTCTATTGCAGCTTCTAGGAATCGGAGAGACGATAGTGATGGAGTTGAATTTGAATGTGATTCTTGGAGTGATGATAGTGGAAGTGATAACCTACTAGATCATGAAATAATAGTTCCAGCAAAGCATGGGATGGATTCAAACATATCCCTTGTTGGCCATGAACCCACCTGGTCATAGCTTGAATCCGAAGAAACAGCATCCCATGCTTTGCTAGAACTATTACTTAATGATCAAAATGGGTTATCACTTCCACTATCATCACTCCAGAAAACACATTCAAATTCAACTCCATCACCATCTTCTCTCTTATTCCTAGAACCTGCAACTGACTTACTGCTGTAGATTTGGAGGGCAGACAGATATGGAACATAATACTGTATCGAAGTGTCGCAGAAGCAGCGTGGTGGGCCCATAACCATACATCCCTGGATTGAAACCAAGCTCAGATACCATGACATGAATCAACTCCCCTAAAGATGTTCGGTGAAGACACGAATAGTTTTCCATTATATTTCTACCATATCTTAAATTTTTTGACTAATATACGATTTAAATCAAAAATCGAATATACAACATTGCATAGGCTATACGAAAAATATTGTGAATCAATAGGGGATTCAATTTGTAGAAAATAGCCCATTCTCCAAGCTACATTAGCAGCATTACTCTCCTTGACAGTATAAACAGTAATAATATTATGTTTATCATAAAATCCAAGAAAAATCTAATAAGACAATTTCCACGTGAAAATGACTAACAACAAATGCTAAAATATCTCAAATTATGGACTCAATACATTGCTGTGACATTGAGAAGGCTTAAAAAATACAACAGAAACAAAAACCAAAAAAAAAAAAAAAAAAAGAGTAAATAAATAAAATAAAATTGTCGTTTATACGTAAGGATAACTTCACAAAAGTAATAACACTACTCTTCAAATGTTAGATTATTTCCATAAATTTTTTAGTGAGATGGTAAGGTATTAAAGTGGCCTTCCAACTGTTCAATTATCAATAATGTAACTTATACATAAAAAAGTTGACATAACTCAACTTTCATCACCACAATCCATTTCTCTTTCTCTTTACCGCTCTCCCTTTTATACATCAAGGTCAATGATGTGCAATCCTTTATGTGAGTCATGTGATTGCATATTATGTGCAGGTTGCAACTATAGTTCTACGTCAAAAAAACAAAAAAAAATGTACCTATCTTTCGTAATTCTATATCCTACATAGTACTTACATATATGTTACATGTTACACAAGTTATAGTTAGTAATAGTAAACACAAAACTGCACAGTTTTCTTATGTCTTTTCAGTAGCTTAAAACCAGGGCACTGGCAAAGAACCAAAGTCCCCATTAGTCATTACCTGCCTCTTCAGAAGAAAGCTGATACCAAAAGCCAAATCACCAATGGGCCATTTCCCAAGTGTCTCCGAATATGTGAACCGGAGAGTCTCTGACAATGTTGAAATTGTCTCCAACCATGTAGCAGGGGCTTGGATTAACCTATTAGAAACACGGTCAATACCTAACGGCATATCAGTGGGCGCATCACTGTCATTTTCTTCACCATCTTCATCATTGATCGTTCTGTGAGACCCTAATTTCCGATTCAATGTGTAGTACAAAAGAGCAGCTGCACCTGCTGCAGTAGCCATGGTTGCAGTTGCCATGATTTTCCTATCTCTATAACAACAAAAATTCCATTAAAAAAACATCGTTAGAAAAGGATTCATAACATAAAACTTAAATATAATTTCCCAATATATGACACCTTCAAATCCTTCATTTTTCATTCTACCAGTGATCAAATCAAACGAAACGAACCAATTTTTTTTTATTTTTTTTGGCGTCAATTCTGGAGGTCAAATTACGATGAGAAAAAATAACAAAGGAAAAAAAGATTAAAACTGAGAAGCAATGGAACTCGAACTTCGAAAATCGAATCATTCAAGTAATCAATAAAAAAAAATCAGAAAAACCAATGATCAAATCAATTAAATGAACAACAGAAAGGAATCGGAAGAACCTGAAGAACATGAAGGAAGACACACCGAAACCCAAAACCCTAAATTCCTAAATCAAAGTGAAAAAAGAAGAAGAAGAAGAATCTAATAATAGAGCAGTTAACAAACCTGAAAAACGTTATTTTGGAGGAATTTGACGAGGGTGCAAAATTAGCTTGGCAACGAAGGAATCAGAGATTATACCGAGGAATCAAAACCTTAAGATATTTGTTTTTATTATAATAATAAGGGAAATGATATTGAACAAGTTGTGTTAACGAGAAGTGACTGTTAATTAATCTCTATTTTATTTATTTTTATCTTTAACTTGTTATAATTAATTGTTTGTGGTCCCTATATAGTAATAATAAAAATAAAATAAACCATTTCTATAGTAATAACCAATAATAGATTGATTATGTTGATCCAACGGTTATATTTATTTTTTTGTATGATTATGATTTCTCATATTTAAAATAAAAACATTAAATATGAGAAATCATAACCATACAAAGGTGGAAATAAATATAAAGTATTAAATTTGGAGAATCATAATCATACAAAGATGGAAATAAATATAATCGTTGGATCAACATAATCGATCTAATAGTGAGATCAATTAATAGTCACTTGGTAGTAACACAACTTGATTGTCACAATATTCTTCTCTTAATAATAATAATAAGTGATTAACCTTTAATCTAGTCAGATGAGATAAATTTATCTCATATAACAACCTCAAAATGATATTATTTAAAATTTAATGAAAAAAAATATAAAGTATTTTCACGAAAAATATATATTTTAAAATATTCTTTATTTTTTAACCTAAAGCTCAAAATAAAATCATTTTGCGTTTTCATTGATTATGGACGAAGCAACAAGAAGAAATCAAAGAATAATTGTTTATCTCATTTTTTAATGGGATTAAGGGACACGTGGCGCGTAGAGATGGAGCAAAGTCGAAGATGGCCATGAGTGTCGCGAAATCAGGTAGCAAAAGATATCTCACAAATATAAAGCGGTCAGGAGGCATTTGGTGGAGCAGAATTTTTTTTTGAATATTAGGGAATTGTAATTGATATGAAAATGGTTAAAAAGTGAGTTTAGTAAAAAAATGTAAAAATAATTGTTTGGTTGAAAAAAAATTCTAGACAAATTAGGTAAGATTTATAAAGTCTATGTTTGGTTTGAGATAAAATATAGACGAGAAATAAATGACAATTACTAAAATATTCGTGTTTTTAAAAAAATTTAAAAAATAAAAAATTATAAATTAGAGAGAAATGCGAAAAAGAAAAAGAAAAATGGATCCAGTAAAGGTAGGAATGGCGGGAAAAGCAGCGAGGGAAATGGATCCTATCCACCTTTCTTCCGTAAGATTCTTAATCTTATTGGCTGGCTGCGCATTTGATCATTTTCTTCACGTTAAAGAAAACTAAATAATTCTATGATTGCTATGTTAAAAAGATGTGTCATGCGGATATGTTGTAAACAGGCCCAGAAGGGGCTACCAAATGCAGCGCCAAAGTTGGAGAACCAACCTAAAGAGAATGAGATAAAGAACAGAAAGGACAAAGATATCCATAGAAATGGTGCTGTGACTTAGGAAGCCCAGACAACATCGAGTAAAAGATGGAAGTTGTGTAGAAAACAATAGAATTAGCAACCATGATTCACAGCCATTGCAATTGAAGGTAGAGCGTATAGCATCTGGTGTTGTGACTTTCTTTCACATTGAGAAATAAAAGGTAGAGCGTATAGCATCTGGTGCTGTGACTTTCTTTCACATTGAAAAATAATACATTACCATTTAAAAAAAAAAATCAGTTGACTTACAGAAAGGACAGGGACTCAGGTTCAGGGGAGATATATAGATTTGGCAATGACAACTCTAACAATGAAAGCAAATAGATGTGGCAAAGAGAGGGTATCCAAGTCTTTTGGTTAAAAGCCAATGTCAGCAGATTGGTTGCTTTTCAGCAATACCACATTATCAAAAGAATTCTTTAACCGGCAATATCCATGAAAATAGACATGCAAGCAGGTTTGGTAGGATAGTCATATAGCTACGTAAGTATGGAAGCATAGTCAACCAAACATGGTGTACTCATATTTTCACTTCTCACTTATCCATCTATCTTAATATTTTCTCCCAACCAAACACCCCCTTAAGAACTATTTCGACTGGATACACTAATCAGTTAACTAATTAATTAGCATGCATGAATTTAAGAATGATATGCTTAAGCGCATGTTTGCTGATCATGGGAATTTTTTTTAATACTTGGGTATATTTTTTTATTAAATAAGATTTTTTTTTTATTTTTTTTTTATATATCCCAAAATCTTAGCTCTTTTGACAGAGATGTACATACATTCATTGCACATAAATTTTTCTCCTAATCATGAGAGAGAAAGAGGAGGGGATATAATAAAATGTTATTTTTGACCCTAATCTGCACGAGTTTGGGCCTAAAAAGGCAGATTAGCTGATCCATTTTGACAACTTCATAAGTAAGAAAAAAAATTGTTTAATTTTTTTAAAAAAAAAATCACATGAAGTGCAGTTAAAAAATGATATTATTGTCTGTTGATATCATTCATGACACTGCGATTCACCTCAAATACCGCTTATTTAATTGACATCAAACGCATGATACGATTTTAACTTATCAAACTCATCCTTTTTTACTCTTATCTAACCCCCTATCCTATCCATTTCTATCATCTATAATTTCTTGTCTATCAAAAGGTCCTAAAAAGTTAAAAGCATGTTGCTAGGTAGAGGTGATAATATAGGTTGAGTTCGGCGAGTCAATCCGTTAAAACGGGGCGGGTTGACCTGTCGGGTTATATATATATATATATATATAGGGTTAGGATCATTTTACACCAGTGTAAGTTACACTCTTAATCTTGTCCACTGATCCCATTTATATCTAAGGGCTCAAATTTTTTAGTAATGTGAGCCATTGGATACAAGTGGATCAATGGTCAAGATTGAGTGTAAGACTTCTAACTCTTACACCAGTGTAAGAATATCCTGCCCCATATATATATATTTTACAATTAGTTAGTATTTCATTTGTTATTAAGTTTTTGAGATATTTAATTTTTTTTTTATCTTAATACTTCTTATAAAAGATAAAGAATAACAACTTTATTTATGACAAATATTATCTATATATGGAGACAAATGAGTTCCTAAAGAATGTTTGACAAATATTAGTATACATTTAAGATTGAGACTGAAAAAAATTAAGAGAAGTGCGAAATAAGATAAAATAATATTAGAAAAATTCATAAAATATAATTTTATTCTAAATTTAAATTAATTTTTTTTTAATTGACGGATTGGTGGGTTGACCCGTCAACCTACCATAAAACGGGGTGTGTTCAATTTTTCAACCCATATTCAATGACAGGCCAACCCGTCCCGCCTCATTTTTGACAGGTTGATGGCGGGTCGGGGCGGGTGAACCCAAATTGCCATCCCTATTGCCACGCCTAAGTTGGGCTACTCACCGGTGGGCCTACACGTTGGATTTTTTATTGTCTTAATTAATCACAACTGAGTTGGGCCTGTCATTGATCAATTGCATGGCTTCGACAGTGACGTGGTGGAATTTGGGCTGTTAATTGCTACATTAACTTGGACTAGAATATGTTGCTGTCTTGAGTCTAGATAATTTATTAGCATCATGACATTGTTATCATTGTTATTCATATTCTATTATTATATATGTAATTAAATTAAATTTAAATTGGTTGTAATAGTAATTCATAGTTTATTTCCATGAAGGCAGATAATAGTAAACTGTATTTGATAATTAGATCTGCTCCAGATTAAAAAATAGACAGCCTAAAATGACACTGTTGTTAACTCACTGCATGCAAACCATATATTTGAATTTATACAAAGATTTCATCATCATATGCTATGAAAAGTAATAGTTCACGATGGGGGATATTTTGACTACCAAAAGTGTCCACTACCACCTTACTACCTATCAAATCACCATTGGATCAAAGAGAGAGGATGATAAAAAGTTTTTGAAGAGAGATAAAATGTTAATCCAATGGTGATTAGATAGGTAGTAAGGTGGTAGTGGAAATTTTTGGTAGTCAAAATATCCTCCCTCATAGTTCACATCTAAAACACTTATGTGGAATCATTTCAATAATATAAGAAAATCTTTTAACAAGAAGGATGAGCCATGCACGTGATTCTAGCTAGGATATGACAACGTACTAAGAAGTAACAAACCTTTTAAACTTGACACTCGTATTTGAACAACAAAATAAACAGGATATTCACCAAATTAAGTTTGGAATTAGCTTTTGAATTAAGTTTGATGGAGAGGACCTAACTTTTGTTGGTTCAATTAATTTCATGGGTCATGGTTGGCAATAATGCTATATGTGGACCTTATTTAGTTGTCTCCTTTTTCAATTTTCATATGTTTATAAACTTTTATTTTGCGATTTTGGATGGTCCCCAAATTGAAGAGACAAAACTCCATTTTCTATTTTGATATGCTTCAATTTGTACCATTAAAGTGAGATAGAAGATGAACCAATTGAAATTTTGGTGTAAAATTATTTTATATCTAGATGTATCGGGTGTTTTTTGTTTTTCTTTTGGTAGATTGTGTTGGGTCTTTCTGGAGTGTAATAATTGAAAAGCAATTGGATTTAAATTTATATTTTACTCTTGGTAGTTTAATTGTTTTGGTGGATAATATTGAAGTTAAATATTTATAGTAAACAATCTACTATAAAACCTATAAGACAAATTAAAGATTCTTCCAGTTCTATGAGAGATAGGATGTATGATAAAAAATTAAAGGTTCTAAAATTGGATTCGAAAATCATATTTTTTTTCCTTTGACACAAATTATGGATATGTTTGGCTAAGCTTTTAAAATAAATGTTATATATATATATATATATATATATATATATATATATATAGTAAAATGATCCGTTTACATACATTTTTTTTCAAACTTATAAATTACACTATGTTTGACCAGTAATACTCTACTTAAAAGTGTATTAGCGGTCAGACATAATGT